ATCTGTGACAGACCTTGAAAAGGCTTGCATTCATTCCCATTTTTTCTTCTTGCAGCTGAATTTCCGATGTAACTCGTGAGTCAATCGTGTTTATTATTAACATTTTTATCAAAATTGTTTTACTCTCTTCAAAGTAAATAAATTTACAAATAAGATTTTTTTTTATTAAATATTGTAGCCATAAACAATGCATTAGCGAACAAATATTTAAACTAAAACAAAAATTAAATAAGTTTTTTTTCGCGTATTGAGCGGACAAATAATTTTTGAAATAAAGAAAAATTTACTGTTTTCGGCAGGATTTTTTATTCCAAAAATCATTTGAATTTTTAACCGCTAAAAATCTTCTTTCTATAACAAAAATTCTATACAGATCAATTCTTAAATTTTTGGTGATTTTTTTCTTATCTGTTTAACCGATAATCTATTAAATCGTGAAATTCCAGTCTTACAAAATGTTTACAGAGGATTTATTTTCGGTATAGACAGCCGCTTTTGTGTCGTTCAGAAAATATCAGACATGGCTGAATAGGACAAAACGGGGAAACCTACACTGAAATATTTTTTGATCAAATTGTTTCAACGGTTTGCCAGTTTTATAAGTTTTTCAATAACATTAAATTGATGCCTTTTGTTACAATACCCAATAAACAATAATCGCAAGTAAGGTCAATGTTTATTCACTATCGCCAATTAACTATTCAATTAAAAAGTTTTGATTTCGATCACAAATTTGGCGTTATCAAATTATTAGTTTAAATATTTTGTCTTTCTAAAGAACGCATGTGTATGCAATGGATGGGAATTTCAATATTTTTTTAAGTACACAGAAGTAACGCTTCTCGAGATCAATTTTAAATCTTAATTACCACACACCCGGCATATTTTAACAAATTGGGACGATATTGCTGGGATCACTTCTTTTGAATATTTCGGAAAATTCTTTATTGGAGTTTAGGTTTTTTCGAAACGCTTTTCCCATTGGCCTCTCAATCCTGACAAACGATATATTAAAAAATATAAAGGATTGAATTACGGACAAAAAACTTCCTTAACCTATTAGAAAACCTAGAAACTTTGTTTAACTTCTGTCATAAATTTCAATAAAAAATCCCGTCATTTTTCGTCATTCCGGCGTAGGACCTAAGTACGAAAAACAAAAATAAAAATTATACAATTACCATACAAAAATACACATGCATTAATGTGTTACTTAAAACTTAAAATCTATGACACTATTGGACACACATCAAATATTTGTAGCTTGGAGAGCAAAAGGTCTAAATCGGTTGAATCGTCGACAAAATAGTTGCTCCGAATGGGAAAGTGATTAAGATCGTTTTAATTTTGATAGAAACAAGCACTAACACCAAGCATGAAAATGCAGTTAGAGGCCTCGCGTATTTTCCTTGATCTAGATTTTTTAAAGGTTCTCCTGATCAAGCGAAAGTTCCAAGAAAGACCCATATCCAACGTTTTTGTACCAGAAAACTCTCTTTTAACATCAAGCGATGTTTAAAGGAAGATCTATTTTTTACTTTTCTCCTACTACATATATTCAACGTTTTTCACCAGAAAACTGTCCTCTTGCAGCAAGCTGTACAATAAGATTGTCTTGTTATCAATGAAAATTGATGCTGTGAAATAATTAAATCGTTGCTTTGAGAACTCAATTAATTTTGATACAGAGATAAAACTATTTTCAAGTAGCTTGAGTGACCTTCTGGAACTGTAATCTAATCTGCAAATTAAAGTCTAGGGACATTTGCCTTTAGTCTGTTATCAGTTACTTCTGTTGTTTTACGCAACAAGCAATTTAATTCGGTGGCCAAATTCATCTGTTTTTTGCCGATTTTTCAGTAGCTTGTGAGAATTACTTTGTTTACAATTTTTTATGAACCTTGGATATTCTCCGATCACACCTTTGTAAAACTGACGCTAATTTTAAATCACCCTGTTTAAATTGATAAAGTAAATCTAAAAATGTAGGGATAAGCTTACAACTCGCATAAGTTTATAAGTTGCTTAAATGCTAGGGACATTTTGTGTTGCACCTACATAGCGAATATTAGAATCGTAGTTAACAAATATTGCACAGAAAATGTGTATTTTACATAAAGATAAAAATCTGAGCAAATATATAATTTTTTTGGCGATGAACTTGCATCAGTCAAATATGATGTGTATCTAAAACGAAATCTTTTGTGACCACTCACGAATTACCATGTTGCAACATGCCAAGCATTTTTTTGTTTAGATAAAGCTGTTAAAAGTTTGTTTCTTTGCTTACTTGATCACCACATTTGCTTCTGTTTTTTTGTATTTACTGAGCACCTTTGCAAGTAGATCAAGTAACTTTGTACATGTTCAATATCCAAAGAGGTTTTTTCGCGACTTTACCGATTAGCAAGTTGGATAAAGTCGCATACATTACATGCTGACGACAATGCTATCGGTGAATAAATAAGCAGCCATCGGGTGTTCCGGAGCTGAGGTTAAAGGCGACAAGCCACCACAGCAGCTCGAAAGAGGGGCCCCAGGTGGCACATTAAGGCGCTCGTGACGCTTCTGGATTACAAATGGTGTCTAATTGACATTCATCGGTAGAACGGATTGTAATTCGATGTGCGCCATTCGTGTACCCCCGACTTCAAAAATGAATACAAATATTATAATTATTACGAGTTCGTACTGTCAACAGTTGCAAAATATGTATTTCGGTTTGGGTAACAGAGGCTGAAAATATCAGCCGAATATTCCAGTTCGGAGATTCAGATGCAACGCTTCCCGATATAAATGTTAATTAATAAGTTAAGTTTGGAGTCAATGTCAAAGGGTTTAAAATCGCAAAGTCTCAAACTAATTAGATAAAAATATTCAAATGGTACCTTTTGGACACTAATTTTTTAAACTCAATACTGCTTCATGCTTTTATTCTACCTGTATTGAACCTGCAAAGAATGCGTATTTCTGCTTTGAATA